AAATATGTACAGGACATACTATCACATTTTGTGAAAAATAAAAAAAATATCACAAATATGACATTATGGTTTTACATCTATGGAAGCAATGTGATGTTAAAGGGATGTTAAAAAACAAGGATACACACAAACGCAAAAGGGAGTTATTTTTCATTTTCATGCAATAATTTCTTTTGTGAATCTTCCCGGTGAACCTATTAGCGAATCTCCAGGGTGAAGCAGTACGATGTATTATACATAACGTTCAAAATTCCAGGGAATCTCCTTGCAAATAAGGGTTGCTTTTGATGTTTTTTGTACTTAAAATGAATTATTTTTACGCAAACGCATTTAGAAATTTTTTAAAAAGCCATGTTTGAGCATGCAAGGCCGTAGCTGCCCCCCTGAGTTTGAAAGTTTTTTTTAAAAAAACAACAACTTAAAATAGAAAAGTTTCGAGCGACCACGTATTTGGTTTGTACACGATTTAAAATAAAACATGGTAAGCCAGTTGCGTGTACTGTGTTTATATTTATTACTGAGCGCGTTGACACTTTGACGCACAGTGGGTCAAACGTTACCTTCAAGTATTTCAGATTGACACGTCAGCCATGTCAGCTTCGAAGAAACGTTGCACACAACTGTCAATGTTGAATTTTTATAGTACAAGCAGTAATGTGAGGAATACCAGTATGATTGATGCATGACGTCGCCCTGACAGTATGTATGGCAGTAAATTCAACTGAACGAAAAATCGATCACACTCGCCACAATCTGATGATATAAATCATTTAAATTACGGCTTCTCTCTTTTTGGAATATTTGGTGGCCCTGAAAAGGGCCGTTTAGTTTGGTTGCTATGAAGCCACTAATCAAGTTCGATCACTTCATTATGATCTTCTTGCTGGTCGAGATTCCACAGGGTCTGCAATGCCTCCCCGGCCCCCCACTCCCTATATTTAGGGGGGGCCTATGCTTGTTCCCTCATTTTTTGACCCCCCCTATCTAGGGAAAAGAAGAAAATTTAACCCCCCCTTTCACGGGCTTTTCCGATGAATTTCACCCCCTATCTAGGGAACTTTTCAGTCTAGAACTCCTTTTAAACCCCCCTTTTTTGTATATCTCGGGAAGTGTTTTGAAATACACCCCCTATTTTGAGAATCTCGGGAAAACAAGCAAAAAATACCCCCTTTTCTACGATTTTCTCGGGAAAATGTTCCCGAGACATCGTCAAAAAGTACCCTCTTTCCCGAGAAAATGGGAACGCGCATGCGGCCCCCTATGGATCCTGAGTGGGGGGCCGGGAATGCCTCGCGGCGGCGGGAAGCAATTGACAGAATTTCGTAAACGATGCGGAATATATTCAAAAATATTGAATGTATATTATCTTTTCTCGGATCATGTCATCCAAGATCTTGAGACGCGATTTGCTGATCAACACTGTGGTCTGATAGCTGCACAAGCACTTTTACCATGATGCAACATTGGTCAGCTCACATCAACCCATGTGACCTCAATTAACAACTACTATAGGAAATTGTTGCAAAGAGATGAATTTTTGAATATTGAAATTGAGAAGTGGATAACAAAGTTCAGTGATACACCAATTGAGCAAAGGCCCAATGATGCTGCTTCATCTCTTGCTGTTTGTGATGTCAACTATTTCCCAGCCATCCACAGAATTCTCACAATATTCTTTACAACACCTGTCGGAAGCGTGTCATGTGAACGTTCTTTTTCTGCACTTCGGCGGGTGAAGTTATGAACACGATGTAGCATGGCTCAAGACAGACTCAGTGCTCTTGCAATGTTACTAGTACACCGAGGCACAGACATCATTCCTTCCCCAAAAGTGATTTATTCAAGGAAAGCTAAACTGTGTATTTTACAAGTATCAATTGTATTAATCAGTCCTATACATTACATTAATGTTGCTCCTATATGAAGATAGAACAAAAGTGTGTTGTATATATTCATAAAATATATCAAGATGATTTTATTGTTAAAAATAGATAGATATACCCCCCCCCCAGCCATTAACTTATGGCGCAACAGCACACCTCTACGCCTTTATACATTTATACGCAATTAAAAAAATGCATTTGCTGCCCCCCTAGTGAAAAAAAAGCTAGCTACGGCCCTGGCATGAGTACCCAGGCTCCAATTCGAGTGCGCCCCCTGGCGTATTAATATTCCTGTAAGAGTTACGTGTAAAATTACGAATTTTGCTGCTTTCGGTGTTGGATATAACAAAGATGACTGAGTCGTTGTCTTTTGATTATTTGATTTGTGGAAATGTAGACAGGTTGCTATTGCTCACTGAGTACATACAAGACTATATGTGCGAAGACAACTTTAAGTGAACAACTGTGTCACTATAACACAATAATGTATATTCTTGAAAGAAATGCGATTACAAGATTACAACCAGTGTTATGATACGATTTCCGATTGTAAGCTGTTAAAATAATCGCAGACTTCAACTGATTTAAAAGGTGAATATAATTTAAAAATAATCGAATGAATTAGACAATTTAATTTATTGTGTAGTGGTCACGCTACACGAAGTACGGGCTAAGATTTAAGCTGATCCCAAAATTCACGCAGGGAGGAAACAGTAGTTAGCACGGGCTAAGGAATACACAAAAATCTTCAGTAATTTTGATTACTCAGTACAGTAACTAGGAAGGTGTACGTGTTAGTTCTGCGGCGAATTCAGAAAGTGCAGATTGCAGAATAACAGGAAGTAGCACAGTGTCTCATCGTCAGTTCAGTATTTCTCGAGAACAATTGCTATGTTCACACGGCAGCATTCTATCGGAGCCGAACTACTGCTCCTCCCACGGATTAACAGGAGATTATCTACAATGCGTTCATACGGTCGGGAGCCGAACGAGAGCCGAGATCTGCCAGAGTTAGATTCAGTTCGATCAGAGCCGAGCGGAACAG